GAATGCAAATATAGATAGTCCTCGACTTACAACCACAATAGGGCTCAGCTAATTTGTCATTTAACAGTACGGTTGTTAAGCAAGGCATCACATGATCCCACCTGCAAGGGGGCAGCCTCCACTTCCACCTCCCAGCCCGAGACGAGGGAGAAGAGACCGGCAGGGGGGTCTCTTGGATTAAAGGAGGCTTCGCGTTTACACTCCACCTCCACCCCCACCTGCCTTTGGAAGTGGCGCATCTTCTGGGTGACGCAGTGATCCAAGGAGAATGAAGCGCCACGCAGGCAGGCAGGGTGACAGGTTGCCTTTGAGTGCAACCGCATCCCTGCAAAGGAAGGAAGAGCCCACCGGCGTCTGACAAATAAACAATAAAGGTGCATCATGGTGGCTCCGTCTTGACTTTTTGGACCAGACCCCGCAGTCATCCCAGAAGGTGGGTAAGCCCCCCTCCTTTGGGAAGCCAGCATCAATGCAGAGGATGGAGCGATGGCTGGGAAGCTGAGTTGCCGTCAGCAGAATACGAGCCAGCAGCGCGGTCTGGCTGCAAAAAAGTCAAACACCATTTTAGGCTCCATCAAGATATGTAGAGTTTCTGAACCGCAGGAGTTATTCTGGTTTCGTCAGGCCTGCCAGGAGCACCATGGTCACGGCATAAATGTTTGCGGGCTACTCTGAATTGGAATTCCTAAGCAGAAAATACAGCAGAAAGTAGGGCCACTGTGGTGAGATCCTAATAGGGTTCGTGCCAGAAAGTTGATGTTTCTGACAACAGGCATTTAGTGTTGGGTAAATATAATAAAGCAACAGGAAAGACTTTAACCTCTGATTGATCTGTAACTCAGATTTCTCTTTGAAGTTACCGCTTAGTACGAGGCTCGGTTTCATCTGGTGCAGCCTGGATCGTGCTATTTATCTGCATCTATACTTTGCCTCGCCTTACGATCTTGCAGTTCACAACCCGCTCAAGCCATTTGGGGGTAGTGTGTGCTGGTATCTTCATGCAACCCGCGGCTTCCACATTTCCGCCTTAATTTACCAGCTGTTTTGTTGTTGCGGGAGACTAGCAGATGGGCATGGCTCGTACAAGCCAGGAGTCTTGCCAGGCTAACTTTATCTCCCGTTTTGACCGGGTAAATTCTTTAATAGATTGTGGGAATGCAGCAGACATAATATATCTTGATTTGGCAAAGCATTTGACAAAGTGCCCCCTGATCTGCTGATGGTGCGACAATTAAGTAAACATGTCGTTGGCTCAAACTCATATTCCAAAAGTGCTTCTCCGTGGCTTCTCCTGAAGTTCAAGTGGGGTGCCAGAAGGGACAGTGCTGGGTCCTCTGCTCTTCCCTATTTTCATTTATGACTTGGATGAACAGGTGGAGGGAAGGTGTATCAAATTTACTGGTGACACAAAATTGGGTGGAAAAGTTAACAGAGAAACAAAATTCAAAATGAGCTTAATAGATTGGAAAATCGGGCTGAGAATAACGATGACATGTAATATGAATGAGCACGTTTCTTCACTCAGGAAACAGGAAACAGATGTACAGATATAGGGTGAGGAACACGCGGCTTGACAATGGTGTTTGTGAAAAAGGTCTTGAGTAGTGTTGATTGCAAACTGAATATGAGCCAGCAGTGTGATGGGGCAGCAAAACCAGCAAATATGATTTTAGGCTGCGTCAACAGATCACGGGAGGCCATCGTTCCACTTTATTCTGTCCTGCCAGAGCCACCTCAAGTCCTGTGTCCAGGCCCAGGCACCACCTTTGCAAAGAACCAGTTTGATGAGAGCCAGTTTGGCGTGCGTAGTAGTTAAAATGCTGGCTTAGAAACCAGGAGACGGTGAGTTCTAGTCCCGCCTGGGGCCTGGAAGCCAGCGGGGGGCCTTTGGGCCAGTCCTTCTCTCTCAGCCCAGCCCACCTCACAGGGTTGTTGTTCTGGGGAAATAGGAGGCAGGAGCAATTGGTATGTTTGCCGCCCTTGAGTTATTTACAGAAAAGGCAAGATAAAAATAAAAGAATTAGAAATATAAGAACAAGAAGCAGGACCAGGTTTAGAATCTAGGACTAGAACAGGAATCCTGCAAGGAGGCGTTGAAGGAGCCGGGCAGTTGAGCCTTGGAGGATGGGGAGGGGGGAACAGGACGCTCCCCTTGGGACGCCGAGGAGGCCAGAGAGCTGCCCTCCACTGACCGGGGCAAGGTGCAGCAGCATGGATTGAAGCTGCAGGAAGGCTGATGCCCCGCGGATGAGAGGAAGAGCGTGGAAGAGCGTGGAAGCGTGGGAGGGGGCGACGGTCTCCCCTTTTCCAAGGCGTTCAGGCAGAGGCTGTTGGGATGCTTTCGATGGGGCTTCCTGCCCCGAGCAGGGGTTGGGCTGGATGGCCTCAAGGGAACCCTTCCATCTTACAGTTGATGATCTCCAGGCCCTGCGGGTGACGATCTCAGGCCATGTAGCTGGGCCATATATGCCCTAGGAAGCAGGGGGGTTGCAGAGGAGGGGGGAGGCAGCAAATAAACCGGGTTGGACCGGAGGAGGATCCGCAGCTGTTGACCCTAAGCCTCGGTGGTGTCAATGTGACCGTTTGGGTGGCATGGAACAATTTCTTCGTGGCACCTGTTGCAAGAACGCAAATCCCGTGAAGTCATGGCGCAATGGCGTGTCTCATTGCAGGGGTGCTGGGGGGGGTTCAAGAGGGTGGCACAGCCTTGCAACTGAAGCTGCACCCAACCATGTTAAAAAGGGGCAGGGCTTCAACCACCCTCTTGACTTTTTTGACCCCCTTCCCGTGGACACCCCTTTAATGCCCCCGACCAATCTCTCAAACAGCAGGATTTAAACCAGCTGCTGCTTTCTCCTGTTCTATTTTTTCCAAGATGGCATTTTAAGGGCAGGGGTTTAAATCTTTTAATCTGCTTGGCCTTTTATTTCTAGAGCTGTATTTGTTTTTATTTTGTTTGCGTGTGGCTCTCTCTCTCTCGCTCTCTCTCTCTTTCGACACGAAGCGTTGTCCTGATGCAAATCTGTAAGTTAATGAGTTAAATGGAAAGGGCAGGGCCGGAGCCTCCATTCGCACCGTGCAGGAAACCCAGGTTGATTAAATTCCCATGTTGCCAGAACGCGCCATGCCCAAAGGTGTAATCCGTCCTACGGCTATTGCGCTGGCCAGATTTTGGTACCAGGCTAAAACGGGGGCTGCCCAGATAATGCCGGACCGCTGGCCGAGCCTTTGGCCACCGCTGGTGCGCGGG